TTCTTTTGTTGATCCTCTACCAAGTATGACTGTCCTACTCCAGGGACTGTTTTTTCCTAATAATGGCCAAAGTATGTGAGCTATGTATATTCATTCTCTAAGCACAGCTTATTAAAGCTTTATGGTACTTTTTTTTTCACTTGTTCTACAACTTATTTTTATAAATTTTGAGAACTATTCTATGAATTCTGTAGTGTTATATTTAGAACAAAAATACCGTACTTCTATCTACATGATAGTTTCATGTAATGAGTCATGTTGTTATATGCTGTCATAGCAACTATATGTACAACAGCTGTAAACCCTGCTCTATCTTGTGCCAATCTCACTGTCTCTGACACACCTATCCCCATCACCCCAGTTACTGAATCAATTAATCTCATCAAGGGTCTTCCTCTCCTGCACTGTCCCTCCACACTCCCAAGCATGATTTCCCTCTCCAAAAACTAGTCCCTCCTTGCAACATACTCAAAGTATGTGAGACGAAGCTTCAGAATCCTTGTCTCCAAGGAGCAGCTTGGTCTCACCCTCTCTAGGAGAACATGTTTGTTCTCCTACCAGTCCATGGTATATTCAATATTCTTCTCCAACATCACAGCTCCAAGGCATCAATTTTCCTTTTATCATTCCTAGTCATTGTCCAGCTCTCTGATGCATAGCAAATGACTGCAAAGACCATGGCCTGGATCAGGCACACCTTAGTTTCCAGACTGACATTGACTCTTCAGTACTTTGGAGAGGTCTTTGACAGCAGGTGTTCCCAATGCAGTATGTCTTTAAATTTCCTGGCTGCTGGTGCCAAGAGTGTTGACTGTGGAGTCAAGCAAACTAAAGCTGTGAACAATCTCCATCTCTTCACCATCTATCATGATGCTGCCAATTGGTCCAGTGATGAGAATCTTTGTTTTCTTGATACTGAGTCTCAATTCATATTGAAGGCTGCTGTCCCTGACCTTCTGCAGCAAGAGTTTCAGGTCCTCCTTAATTTTAGCAAACAGGGTTGTGTCCTCTGCATAACACAGATTATTGATGAGTCTTCCTCCAATCCTGATGTTACATTCTTCCTTACAGAGCCAGATAGTCTGTTCTGCATATAGACTGAAGAGGTATGAAGATAGTACACATCCCTGGCATAAACCCTCCCCAATTATGAACCATGCAGTTTTTCTTTGTTCTGTTCTGATGAATGTCTTCTGGTCTAAGTATTAGTTTTACATAAGCATAATCAAGTGTTCTGGGATTCCCATTCTTCTCAGAGTCAGCCACAGTTTGTTGAAGTATACACAGTCAAATGCCTTTGCATAGTCAATAAAACACAGATAGACATTTCTCTGGTACTTTCTGCTTTCAGCCTCTTCTAAAATCAGCCTGCATTTTAGGCAGTTTTCTGTTGATGTGCTGTTCCAGTTGTTTTGGGGTAATCTTCAACAGAATCTTGCTTGCATGTGATATTAATGATATTGTTTGATAATTTTCGAACTCTGTCAGATCATCTTTCTTTGGAATGGGACCAAACATAGATCTCTTCCAGTCAGTTGGCCAGTTGGCTGCCCTCCAGATGTTTTGGCATAATTTGGTGAGTACATCTAGAGCAGCATCTGTTTATCTTATTATTCTAAATTGAAGATTTCAAATTATTTTAATCCATTCCCCATATAATAGAATTTCCATTCTTTATTGCCCCTGATCTAAACTTTCTCTAGTTCTGCTATATATGAAATACCATATATCTACATGGTCAGACATGCCATATACCACATGCCCCTGTACCTATTTCAACCAACCACTGGGAGCAATACTTTTTGCAATTTGCTTACAGATTTTACTCACAGTTGTGGGACTTATTAGGAAATTAGATTAGGGAGTGGGGGAGGCAATGCAAGTCCAGGTTTAGTGCAGAAGTCCCAAGCCAAATAACCAGCAAGATACGATTCCTCAGTTAGTTCAGACAATTTCTCCGACAAGTCAAAGTGTAGTTTCAGTTTGGCAGTACAAATAAATCTCTATTTTCCGCAATCATCCAGCAAACTTTATCTCTGAGGAGTTACAAGTCAGCTTTTCCTTCAATCATTCAGCAAGCAAAACCTTTAACTGTGGTTCCATCTCCAGGGATCCTCTGGTTACACCTTGCCACACAGTCTCTTCACCCTCTACCATTGTCTCTCTCGCAGTATCTTCACAGTCCCCCCAAAATGTGAAATACTCTCTCTCATATTGGTCCCACTACTATTGATGATTTGAAAGACCATGTGTCTGCAGTTAAGGTACATGGAAACTATACCATCTCCCCTCCAATGGGGGCTAACACAATGGATATAAAAGCCAATTTTTAAGTGTTCTGAAGCCACAAGTATATTCATTAAAATTCAGTTTTAAAAACTGCTAAATTTTAATCTAGTAGAGCTCGATAGAGAAATTAACTTTTTAGTTAACATTATAGATTACACATAAGTGACTAAACTGTAATAATCTGTTCAAAAAATTTAAAAATATTTATCCAAAAGAAAAGTTGAGGAAAAAAGTTTATTCCTAGCAAGAGGAAAAATAAAACTGTGTTTAGGCACTGATAGCCTAGTGGCAGTGGCAAGAAGCTGTACTGCAATCCCAAAGATAGGCGGTCTGAATCCACAGGCAGCTCTGAGGGAGAAAGATGGACAATCTCCTCCCATGGGTGCAATTAACTGCTTCTGAAACCCCAAAGAGGGTCAGCTCGTGGTCAAGTCCTACTCAAGGGTACACAACAACATTTATTTACTCTACTATATACAGGAATCTGGCTCTACTATATATACATGGATACATGTATGGAAAAATTTGTTCTTTCATTAAGTTTTAAAATGTAGTAATATAATTTTCTTGCCCATTACCAAATGTCAACACAAGTCTGAGAACACTGTTACAAATGAAGTTACCAGCATGTAGCAACACATGGTATTCCAAATAATTCTACTTAAGAGACATAACCATTTGCTTTTTTCACATCATATAATTTATTCAAACTACTCTAATGACCTTCCATCTCTATAAATATACTTAAACAAAAAGCTGACTAACATACTTAAGAACTAGGCTGTCACATACAGTTAAAGTTAAGCTTAGGGGATAATTAAAGGAGCCCTGGTAGCTCAGTGTTTATATGGCTGCTAACCAAAAAGTTAGCAATGGGAATCCACTAGTTTGAACTCACCAGCTATTCCAGCTGTCTGACCTCGTAAAGATTTACAGCCAAGGAAACTATGGGGCAAAAGTGACTTTGCCCTATAGGGAAGCTATGAATCAGAATGGAGACAATGGCAATGGCATTGGCTTTAGTAGATAATTACAGGAATAATTAGATGTATTGATAAACATTCAAAGTTTCCAATCATTTCATTGTTAACACACCAAGGTTATCTTAAACTTTTAAATTAGGACTAGTCGTTATGACTCATACTCCACTCAACAGTACCTACTGGTTTGAAAAATTTAGTAAGAAATGATACATATCACAGAAGAGTATGCCATGAAAAATATAAACACTGTTCAAGCTATCACTAGCTAATGAAAATCACTGATAAGAGTCAATTACCAATTATCTAGGTTTTGTACCACAATTAGCATGTACTTTATCTTTAACAGAATTGTACAGGAAAATGACAATTCAATACGCACAAGTTACTTCTTCTGGTGCTTTATCTATTTTATACAGTTGGTTACTACATTTATCCAATTGGGGGAAAAAAGGTAAACTCTACTTCTACACTGGGTTTTAAAATTAGTTTGCATGAGAGGACATCTAACTTTTCCGGAGCTTTCTGAAGATTACTACCAAAATGTCACTGTGAAACGAGTCGTATAATCTGTTTTCACTAGTCATGTTAAACAAAATGAATGACTGAATTCTCCTAAATAATTTCTGGCTTATTGATAAACACAAGAGAGGAAGACCCTTGATAAGACAGATTGATTCAGTGACTGGGGTAAAGGGGGTAGGTGTGTCAGAGACAATGAATTTGACACAGGATAGAGCAGTTTAGGGCTGTTGTACACAGGGTAGCTATGCGCAGGTGACTCAATGGCACAAAAGCCTAATTCTTATACTACAAATAGAGAAATATTAAACCATTTAGTGAAACCTAAATAAATCACCAAGCATTTCCCCAACTGCTGGGCTGTCACTCACTCCTGATGATATAACTAAGAACATTTGATATTTGGTCATTTTGAATTAGTAAATATAAGATGAATCTTATGAAGACAAACCAATTTTACAAACATTCTGAATTCTAGCTGCAACCACACGGAAATCATTTTTGCTTCTCTTAAACTCTGATAATTGTGTCAAATGTGAAGTGGCCACACTTTCAGCTCTCAGAAGGTACAATGAGTTTTCTGGAAGCACTTCCACTCTGCGTGGTCTTCAAGTTTTACACGTAAAGCCAAACCTGCCTTGCTTTTTCTCCCAAAGGATAATGTTGCTGTTGAGTACTACGTTTTCCATTCATAACCTGTAGAGATGCGGGAATCTCCAAGACCTGAGTGTCCACTCAGGGTCCACCTGATCCTTGATGCGCGAAACTAGCAGTTCCTCGCCAAGAGGTAAAAATCAGGCTGGACAGAGAGGATGGAAGGGAAAGAGTCAACTCGGCCCCCTTCACTACCTGTGGCTCCCCAAGAGGCGGTCCAGCGGGGAACGCGAGGGCTGGGAGGATGGCCAACGGACTTTACCCGGACCACATTTGAGAAAGTATTCAGGATTTGTACCCCTACGTGTAAAGGAGGATCGTGGGGCTGCTCTTCTCCCTTCCTCTTTCCAAGCGCCCTTGAGCCCAGCCCTCACCCTAGAGCAGGCGCGGAGGGGGGAGGAAAGAGGGGGGCTGGCCCCGAGGCCCGTGGAACGCCCCCGGCGATCGTCGCTAGGCCTGGCCCCCGCGGACTCGGGGGCTCCGACCCGGGGGCGGGGGCGCTGCACTGTGCGCTGGCCAACCCGGCTGCTACCCAGCCCCGGGGCCTCGACTCACCGCTCTCCACTTCGCTGCCTTTCTTGGCGGTCGCCGCGTTCCCCATGGCTGGGGAGATGGAAAGAAGGGGCCAGGAAAGGAAGGGGGGCTGAGGCCGTCCCCGCCACTCCACAGGCAGAGGCAACTCCTTCTTCAGCACCCGCCGGTGAGGCGAGTGCTCCCGGTGCTGGCGTTCAGGATCCGGGCGGGAAGATGGGGGCCGATTCTGAGAAATAGGCTTCAGCAAACTCCTCACACGGTGCGGCGGTGGCGGCAGCGGCAGTGGTAGCGGTGATGGCCCTAGCGGCGGTAGCGGTGGCGGCGATGGCCAGACACTCCCCCTTTTCCCGCCCGCCCTCTTTGCGCGTCCCCGGGCAGCCGCGAGCCATGGCTCGGCCCGGCCCCGCCCCCTCCTCGGGCAGGCGCGCGCCGGAAGTGACGTAAACCCCGAGACGAGTATGGCGGCGCGGCAACCTTGGTTTGCGTTTTCGCGTGCGCCGGGGGCTAGTTGCTGGAACAAATTCTCTGACTAACCTTGCATGGTGGTCACATCCAGGCTGACCCTTGGGTACCAAGTCCCAAGATGGTGAGAGGTGACATAGGAACCATTAGCCTTGAATAGCAAGCTGGTCGTCCTACCGGGTCATCACACTTTCCCTGGAGCAGATGGCCTCAGAGGCCTTGCAGGTGTGCAACTGCTCAGCAAATTGTTTTCCTTGAACTCAGCAGAGCTGCGTCTCTTGACAGCCGCGACTGGATATTAACTACAGTGCCAAGAGCGTACTTTCAAGTACAACACCCGCCTCGAAAAGAAACTTCTTTCGCGCTTGGACACTGCAGACAAGCTGGGAGGTCGGGAGAGGGGCAACTTTTTATCACGACCTTGGTTTGTAACAGCTAATTCCCTCTCAAACTTTCGTATTTGCTTAGTTTACCAACTTACCTTTCATTTCATAGGCTCCAGTGTATTCAAAAGAGGTTTCAGCTCTTCGTTTTATTGTATGGCTCTTACAGGTTTTGTCAGACATTCCTTGTAGAGATAAGTAAATTACTAATATTTCTTCCTAAAGTCTTTTGATGTGCAGCATTGTATTTAGACTTCTCTGTGTAAATCTCAAAGACATTACCACTTAGTGGTGGTTGTTACTGTTGCCATTGAGTTTAAACCAACTCATAATACATTACCACTTAGTGGCGGTTGTTATTATTGCCACTGAGTTTAAACCGACTCATAACTGACTCTCCAGCAGGATTTCAAAGTGAGAAAGGATAGTGTCCATCTTTCTCCCGCCAAGCAGCTGGTGGATTCGAGCTGCCTGCTTTTTGGTTGCATTGATGGTTGCATTCTTAGTAACAGGTCTGGCAGCAAAGTCTACAAGAAGTTGTAATACTTGGTACTCAGGAAGAAAAATAAGCAAACTCCTCCCCAGAGATTTACCACCTCTGAAAACCCGCTGGAGATCAGTTCAACTTGACGGCAGTGAGTGTTGAGGGTATTTTTGTGTAGACCATTTTCATTCCTTGACAGCTATTATTTAATATATGTAGTTATATAATAAAATCTTTTGTTGCAAGTTTTTTTAAACTTTGGTCTGTACATATTTATTCTAGATTTTTAGTAAAAATTACTAACTTTTTGAAGGGAAAAATGAAAGAGACTACCAAAATTTATTCTGTGGTCTCAAAGTACCGAGGACATCAAGTGCTTAATAGATACCAATATTTGGGAAGTTGCTCTGCAAACTCAAAGGCCATGCTTCTCTGAGTTGGTTTGAATCCACTAGTGGCTCTTCTGGAGAAAGAAGGACATTCCCCCTATGTGATTTGCAGCCTCAGATCCCAGTGAGTTGCTGTATATGAGTTGGTTCTGACTCCACAGCAGTGAGTTTTTAAGGAACTTGGAAGTAAGGTACAAAATATCTTTCAGTACTTGTTATTTGTTAGATACCATCAAGCTAAGTACAACTCATAGTGACCCAATGAAAAACAAGTCTGAACTCTGCCCTATCCTGTGCCATCCTCATCATCTGTGATATACTTGAACCCAAGGCTGAAGTCTCTGTCAGTCTTTCTGGTTTAGGGTTTTCCCCTATTACTCAACCCTCCACCTTTCCAAGCATGATGTCCCTCTCCAAGGAATAGCCTCACCTAACAATATGCCCAAAGTATGTGAGATGAAGTTAGTCATCTTTGCCTCCAAGGCACACTCTGGCTGCACTTTCTCCAAAAATATATTTCTGTTCTTTTGGTAGTCCATGGGATATTCAGCTCTCTTTTCCAGCATGGTAATTCAAATACATCAATTCTCTGTCATCCTTATTCATTTCTCCAGTTCTCAATGCACAGCTGGTGATTAAAAAGGCCATGGCCTGAATCAGGTGCACCTTAGTCTTTAGACTAACATCATTGCTCTTCAGGACTTTGGAGAGATCACTGATGGCAGGTGCCAGTTCTATATATCAACTGGTCTCCTGACTACTATTAGCAAGGATATTGACTGGATCCAACAATGATGAGATCATTGATCGTTTCAGTCTTTTATCTATCATGTTGTCTGTTAGTCCAGTGATGAGGATTTTTGTTTTCTTAATATTGAGATGCAATCTATATTGAAGGCTCTAGTGCTTGATCCTATGCAGTAAGTGCTTCAGGTCCTGCTCATGTTGAGAAAGCAAGATTGTGTCATCTACCTAATGCAGGTTGTTGGTGAGTCTTCCTCTAGTCCTGATGTCACACTCTTTGTAAAGTTCAGCCATTCGGATGATTTGCTTAGCATGTATATTGAATAAGAAGAAGGGTTATAGCCCTAATGCACACCATTCCTGATTTTAAACCATGCTTAAAGGTTTTTCTTAAGCTTTTTCTTCCTGTGTTTGCACAACAGCTTCTTGGTCTAACTGTAGGTTTCGTTTAAGCACAATTAAGTGTTCTGAAATACCCATACTTCACGAAATTAACCATGGTTTGTTATGGTCCACATATCCAAATGCCTTTGCATAGTCAATAAAGCACAAATAGACATTCTTATGGTACTCTCTGCTTTCAACTAAGATCCATCAGACAGTAATATCCTTGTGCCACAGCCTCTTCTAAACCCAGCTTGAACTTCTGGTATTTCTCTGTCAATGTACTGTTTTAACCATTTTTGGATGATCTTCAATGTTTTGTTACTTGAAATGTGTCATTTAGTATGCCATCAATTCCTGGGCCTTTATTGCCAGTTTCTCCAGTGCAGCTTGAACTTTATCCTTCACCACCATTGGCTCTTTATCATATGCTTCATGCTGAAATACTTCATTATCGACCACTACTTTTTTGTATATTTTCCTTCTGCTACCTTTTTGCAGGATGGATGGTAAAGAGATTGAGATTGTTAACAGCTTTAATTTGTTTGGCTCTACAGTCAACAGTCTTGGCACCAACAGCCAGGAAATTAAAAGATGCATTGTGATAGGAAAATCTGCTGTTAGGAACCACTCCAAAATACTGAAGAGCAATGGTGTCACTCTGGAGACTAAGGTGCTCCTGATACAGGCCATGGTCTTTGCAATCACTTGTTGTATGTCAGATAGTTGGACAATGACTAGGGAGGATAGAAGGAGAGTTGATGCCTTTGACCTGTGGTGCTGGAGAAGAGTATTGGTACCATGGACTGCTAAGAAAACAAACAGGTTCATCCTGTAGAGGGTTAAACCAGGCTGCTCCTTGGAAGCAAAAATTCTGGGGCTTCATCTGACATACTTTGGACTTGTTGCAAGGAGGGACCAGTCCTTGGGAAGGGACGTCATGCTTGGGAGTGTGGAGGGACAGCACAGGAGAAGACGACCCTCTATGAAGTGGATTGATTCAGTGACTGGGGTAATGGGAGTAGGTGTGTCAGAGACAGTGAAATTGGCACAGGATAGAGCAGGGTTTAGGGCTGTTGTAGATAGGGTCACTGTGTGCCACAGGCAACTCAATTGCATATTACAACAAACTTTTTAAATAAAATTGTTATTTTATACTGCTTTCCTTACAAAGTTTGTATACATTGTTGTTCATACCAGATCTTTCCCCTTCCTTTTACACACCCCTTTCCACCCCTAAAATTGTGCGACCTTATTATTAAGCCCCTATGCCCAGCCCATCCTCACCCCTCTCCTCCCATCCTCACCTCTTCATTCCCATCCCCACTTTGGATCCTTGTACACATTCTATAGTGATACAAATAAATATATAAATAATACAAAAATAGAGTATTTGTCCTTGTCTGAATGAGTTAGTTCACTTAGCACAATGCCCTCCATTCCCTCCCAAGTTAGGCAGTAATTTACAAAATCCTTGTTCTTGTGTGCTGTATAGTATTCCATTGTGCTAATGTACCATAATTTCTCCATCCATTCTATTGTGGTTGGATATTTGGACTGTTTCTCTCTTCTTGCTATGGTGAATAATGCTGCTAGGAACATTGGTGTTCAAGTTTCTGTTTATGCCTCAGTTCTCATTTTCTCAGGGTATATTCCAAGCAGTTGAATTTCTATGCTCAGCTTTTTGAGGAAACACCAAACTGTCTTCCAGAGTAGTTGTACCATTTTGCAATCCCACCAACAATGTATAAGAGTTCTATCTTGCAGCATCCTCTCCAGCATTTCTTACTTGCTGCCTTGCTAAACTTTGCCACTGCTACTGGGATAAGATGGTATCTCATTTTGGTTTTAATTTCTATCTCTCTTATTGCCAGTGATTTTGAGCATTTTCCAGTCCTACCAAAAGCAATCTGCATGTTCAGTGCAGTCCCAATCCAGATACCAATTTAATTTTTCAAGGAGATCAAAAGGGAAATTGTCAAGTTTATTTGGAGAGGAAAGAGAACCCAAATAAGCAAAGAACTTCTGAAAAACAAAAATTTAAGTGGAAGGCATAGCACTCCCTGATATGAAAACCTACTACACTGCAGTAGTAACCAGAACAGAATAGTACTGGTACAATGACGGGCACATAGACCAGTGGAACAGAATTGAGAACCTAGAAATGAGTCCATCTATCTATGATCAACTGATACTTGACAAAGAAAGAAAACCTATCAAGTGGAGAAATGCCAACTTCAACAAATGGTGCTGACAAAACTGGACTGCTAACTTTAGAGAGCTGAAACAGGATCCACATCTCACACCATATACAAAAATCAACTCAGATCAGAGACCTGGGACTAATGTCCAAAACCGTGAAGTTCATAAGAGACAAACTGGGATCAAGTTGAGAAGGCCTAGTCTATGATGTAAAAAGACTGCCAAAAACAGCCAGAAATGCACAATCTGAAGACGATAAAATTGATGAATGGAACCTTCT